ATATATCTTTATTGATTTCAGAGAGAGGAAGAGAGAGAGAGAGAGAGAGAGAGAGAAACATCAATGATGAGAGTCATTGATCGGCTGCCTCCTGCACGCCCCCGACTGGGGATCGAGCCCACAACCCAGGCCTGTGCCCTGACCAGGAATCAAACCTCGATCTCCCAGATCCCAGGTCAATGCTCAACCACTGAGCCATGCCGGCCGGGCTGTTTGGTGCCTTTTTGACCATCTGAGTCAGGTGGGTATGAGAGCTGAGGAGTCTGACTATCTTAGAGACTTTTTTTGAAGACTAAACATCCTGATGATTAGAAAATGCACTGTAGTGAATTATCCATTGCAATGTTCAGTGCAGTCAGCAACCCCTCTTAACATTTATTTTGTTTCTTTAAATGGTCAGGGCTTATGCTTTGACCAAGTCTTTGTTGTTGACTCTTCAGCAGGAACCAATTAAAAGGCCTTTTTAGTAGGAACCAAATAAGACACTTTTAAATTTTTAAAAATGAGAAGTTTTCTTATTTTTAAAGTTTCTTAAGTAGAATTGGATATCAGCTTCTCCCTTAGAATTTGTCAGGATGAGTTTATTAAGACTCAAAAAACCCGTTTGTATAGATACGATGTATCCACCCCAAATAGACCATGCCTAGGCCCCCCATGGCCCTGCCCCACGTTACACTTTATAAGTTTTATGCCATAAGAATTGGGCACATCAGACCCTTTTTATTTTTATTTTCACTCTTGGTTTTTTATAGTGAAGCCTTTATTGGGATTTTATTCAGGAGTATGACAAAGCTGCCTTTTGTTCTCTGTCTAGGAAATGCGGGGCTCTGTGCCTGTAAGCCTTGCCCCATGGGCTCACCGGGCCCTCCAGGGCTTCCTGGGAGGCAGGGTAGTAAGGGAGACTTGGGGATTCCTGGGTGGCCTGGAGAAAAAGGTCACCCGGGCCCTCCTGGTGCTGAAGGATCTCCAGGGCCACCGGTGAGTCATTCTTACCAGTAATACTCTTTCTAGCTGAAAGAGACAGAGATGGGATTCAGTTGGACCTGTTTCTAATTTATAGTGTGATATATATTTTATGTTTTGAACCTATAAATACATGAATGCCCCCAAATCATCTGCATTCATTCATTCTTTCATCCATTTGACTTATATTTATTGAGCATCTGCTATGTTCTAGGTGCTCTTGCAGGTGCTGGGGGCCTCTACTCTGTTGGGAGCACATGCACGATATAACTGACTGATGAATTAATATATATCATGGCAGGTGGTGATAAAGGCCACCAGCATCTAGTGTGGCTTGAGTGGAGAGAGTGAGGGGCACAGCAGGAGGAGAGGAAATCAGAGAAGTGGCTGGAGGTTAGGAGGGCTTGCTGATGAGCATGGGGCCTTGTGGGTAGGTTGGTTTTGAGTTTTTACCCTGCATGACACCAAACAGCCAGTGGTGAGTTTTAAGAAAAGAAAGACATAATCTGACGTTCATTTTAAATGGATCATCCTTGTAGCTGTGTTAAAAACAGACCACAGGGGACAGGGGAACAGTAGGCAGATTGCTGCAGAATCCTGGTGACGTATGCGAGCACACGGATTGGCGGTGGGAAGGGGTCAGGTTTGGGATATATTTTGAAGATAGAGCTACCAGGTTGGCTGTCAGACTGGACATGGGACATGAGAAGAAAAGACATAAAAGGTGGAGCAAAGATGGTGAGGACTGTGCGCGGAGCAGGCATGGGTTGATGAAAGGAAGCGGTATCATTGGGGACATTTACGTTTGAGATGCCAGGTAGACAAGCAAGTGGAGGTGTCGAGCAGGCAAGGGGCATGATACTCAAGTCGAGGATCCAGGTCAGAGGTAGAGGCTAGAGATATAAGTATCGGCGTTTATGTGATGTTTAGTGCCAGAGAGTGGATGAGATATATCTCAAAAGGGCTCTCATTCGCCGACCATTGCCAGTGACTCAGGTTGAGGCCCAGCCTGTCCGCTGCCCCTCAGAACAAAATCACTGCCCCTGGGACGCTACTCTGGAGGCTGGAGGCAGCCCTTCTTTTCCTGCTAACTACAGGGGCTTAATCTTGGGGTGACCTGCAGTTCAAGAGCCTCACTTTTGTAAGGTAGGACCCACCTCGGAAGGCAAGGAAGAGAATGAGACCAGGTGTACCAAGCTAGAATCTAGAACAGGCGATTGGAAGGAAAAAGAGAGAGATTAGATATACCTGAATGTGAGTAACCTTTGACCCGTCACAATTAAACTGAGCTGTTGCTATTATTTTTCACCAAGGGAAAACCTGGTCCCCCAGGACCACCTGGCAGCAAAGGAGAAAAGGGAGACATGGCTGTATCAAGAGTGAAAGGTGAGCCCGGTTAATCACGTAGCTGCCGTTTATGAATCAGATACAAACCATCCTCACGCAGCAATTTCCCCTGTGACTGCAGATTGATTCTATAACAAGACTTAGGATTATTGCAATTTCGTTAAAAAGTTACTCTCTGTCCTTCATTGAGTCATGTGAATATTGAGCCTCAAGCCCTTTGTCTCATATATAAATGCTCCTTTAGTCACATTTTCAAATCTACACTGTTGTGAACTTGGGCTTGAGACAAACCCCCCTTTGACTTGACTAGTATTTATTCATGCCTTATGGTGTCCTGTACTAATCAAGAATATTTTGGTTGTAAGTGACAGCAATCCAGCTTGAAGTAGTTTAAGAAAAAAAGTAATTTATTGGCTAATTAAACAAAATTTGAAACATTGGGTGTAGGGTTTGCACAGGACCACTACATAGGAGGCTCTCCCTGCATCTGACATATTTCATTGTGCTATTGGCACTTTTCCTCCGAGATTTGCTTTCTCTGGGCTGTGGAAGTATGCCCCAGGAAGCTCCACATTCTTCCATCCCGATACAAAAGAGAGCTCTACCTTCTCAGATCCAGTTAGAAAAAAACTTCAGGAAGGATTGGACTGGCCTGGGGCAAGTGCCCAACCATGGGTCATCCCCCCGTTCACGATGGCCAGGAGATGGAACAAGCAGGGGAGGATGCTGCTGTGATTGGCATCTCCATGTAGAGCCTCCTTGTGAGAACTGGAAGAAGACCATTTCCCGAATAGAAGATTCGGGAGGTTTGGCAATTGTCATTCTCCCCTCTGACTTTTGCACCATTGTCTTTGTGTGATTTAGTCCCCTGGGACACCCAGAGGAATCTCTACCAGCTCACGCAGAGTCAGGGTCATGCCTTTATCTTTAGCCTCGAGTTTTCCTCTACTCACCACTTCTGATGAGAGCTTGAACATCTTTGTTGGCTTCTGTTCCCAGGGCGCAAAGGAGAAAGAGGTCCCGATGGGCCCCCAGGATTTCCAGGGCAGCAGGGAAAACATGGCTGGGATGGACGTGCTGGAGCAAGAGGGGATCCAGGACCCCCAGTATGTATAACGCTTCTGCTATAGAATTTCACTTGCTTACACCAGCACAAAGCATCTGCTTTCCGCTTCTCAGTTTAAAAAGCTGCAACTCAGCAAAGTGCTAACAGCTGGAGATCAGAGTCACCTCTGAGTCACCGCCACAAAACCATGGTTGCTCTAAGGTGTGGCATAATTGCAGGTGGCCTAAAGTCTTGAGTGACAATTCCGTCATAGCAAGAATTTGGGTCTCCATCTTGCATCGTTCTTGGGGTGGTTTCTTCTCTTGTATCTGCAAAGCCCCCACTGATGTGAGGCCTTTTCAGTTGACTGCAGGGTAGAGAATAGAGCACAGGTCTTGGCAATTATCTTGAGTCCTGTTCCCTCGTGAAGCACGTGAGGGAAGTAGCAGGCAAAGCAAAGGGCAAACTAGTGCAGACCCACTAACTTGATATATTGGCTGATAGAAAATCCATTGATACATGATACTTCTGCATTTTTCAAGCATATTTTGGGTGGAGACCATGTATAGGTAACAAAGGTCATAAGAAAAGACTGAGACGTATTTCATTGCTTAGTTTAAACTATCTTGGGTGTCTGAGGTATTTTTGAATGCTTATAATGTCACTGAAAAGGAGCCAGATGTTTACTCATAATAGTAGTCTTCCAAAGAGCAGTGATGTCTCCAGTTTTACAGTAAGGAGATGGAGGCTTCAGGTATGTTACTCAAGGTCATCTATCTATCAAGTAGGCTAAACAGGAGTGGAAAGCCCAGCGTGCTTTACTCCAGAGCACGTGGGACTTCCACCAGACTGTGTTGTAACAGGGACTCATTCAGAGAATACAGGCTTAGAAATCAGGTTAGAGAATGTTTCTAGCTTTTTGGTCTTTCAGCTGCTAACTTATTCAATATGCAAGCCCACTACCTCCATTAATATACTTATTTCTGTATTTTATTATATTTAATAATAATGTTTCTTTATAAAATTTCTTATTCTGTTTTTAAGATATTACAACCACGCAACTTTCTGTGTTTGAGGCATAAGACACATCCCCCAATCACATCTATATGTAAATATGTGTGTGAAATAAGAAGAATCTAAGTTAATCATTTTAAATTCCATTTGCTATCGGGTCCCTTCCTCCTGGAATTATGAGTTTTCTGCATGTGTTTCATTAGCCCATGACGGTGACTACTTTGAGTTCATGGATTTTCAAAGATTGGTGATTGACTCATGATGCGAACATTCCCAGGGGGATCATGAAGATGCAGGCCCAGGTGACCGAGGATTTCCTGGATGGCCCGGACCCCCGGGCAGAGAAGGACCTGGGGGGCCTCCAGGACTGGGATTTCCTGGTCCACCGGGACAAAGAGGGCAACCAGGAGCCCCAGGCCGCCCAGGCGAGAGGGGCCCTCATGGCGCAAAGGGTCTGAAAGGTAATTTTGAGTGTGCTGTGAGACGGTATAGCAAGTGAAGTCAGGGAAGATAAGTGAGCCTCTCTTATGGGCAAGGTTACAATAGCTATGGCAGAACTGCTAAATAAAGGTCCATCAAGCTGCTCTTCAAACCTTGAGTAGTCAAACAAATAAAAGCATTACAGCACAATCAGTATTTAAAACAAATCCTTAAAATGCTAAGATATCTTTGTTGCTCTCTTTGGCCTATGAAAGTTGTCTGTCATTAACTTCTCTGTATCAATTTATACAGTCTGACTGTATTAAAATGACATGTATATACATATCCAAAATATCTATTTTTATAATCCCTTGAGATCATGCAGCATATTTTAATATAAAAAAACCAGTGCTTCATTTAAAAAACACATCATATTGTCCCTGAAAACCCACTTGTAAGTGTTCTAGGGAGAAAAAAGAAGGGGTTTTTAAATGTATTTGACAGTTTTGTGAATTTCAAACAATAAAATGATCTGGAAACTTTTTGAAAGGTTGGATAAAGATTTATTTAAGATTTCTTCCTTTTGCAATATGTATGTATACCTTGGGCTACATTGTTAAATGTGAAACTTCAGAAGAAAATAATATCTTTGGTTCTTGATTTGACAACATAGAAAGGCAAATACCTTGGAATTTAATGAGGTTTCAAGTCATGATCTGGGACCCATCAAAATCTAACATTTTTATTCATCTCATATGTTTTTGATTTGAGAGCACAGGAAATAATACATTATGAGATACTATTTCTATGATAAAAGAGGAACGTCCCATGGTGAAGGAGGAGGGAGCTCAGCGGCCCAAGCCTGGGGTCTTATTTTCCTTACTGACTGAAATGGGGGATGACTATAACCACATTGCGGGGCCATTAGAAAAACAGGAGACAACCTGTCTGAAGCACCTGAGCCATGGCGGCCTCAGGAAATGGTAGCTCTTGTTAATAGCTTGCCCAGTCTCTTTATTTGCATAAGTGCCCCACATCCAAACTAGGAGCCGAATCTTCTGCACTCAGCATGGGCGCTGCTGCTACTTCATGATTCACCAAAGCTTCTGATTCCATGGCTTTCGACACGTATGGGTCTATAAATCCAGTATTTGTTCTATGTTATTAAAACTGATACTTCTTGGAATCAACATTTTCTAGTCCCCTTATGTTTATAACTGCTCTGAGAGTTGAAGTTCAGATTTGAGGGCAGACGTTCTAGGAATTTGAAATAAAAATAGTTCAAGTAAACTATGATATTTTTGAGTCTTTTCCTTTGAATTCTACATACACTCTATGAAAAAGATATTGATCGAATTGCCATTGAGATTCACAGTGCATTGGGCTATCAATTATGTAAATGCTACTTTTTTTTTTTTTATTCCAGGTGATACAATATCTTGTAACGTCAGCTACCCTGGGATGCCAGGCCCTCCGGGTTTTGATGGACCTCCAGGTATGGTCAATGAAAACTTACTGTCTTACACATTCCCCAGAATAAAAGACCTTGCAAGACAAAAGCAAATCCAAAACCCAAAGCAAATCTACAGGCAAATAGGTAGGGTATTTCTAAAATTATTATAAGGATTTGAGAGACTATGGGAAAACAGCATTTGTAGTGTTCTCATTGGGTCTCTGCTTTGGGGCACACTGCAGGTGGGTTTCTCATATCTCTGCAAGAAAATTTACCTTGATTGGATTGCATATTAGTTAAAACGTCTGCCCTTCCTTTGAGAGTTTTAAATTTTTATTTTCGTTCTTGTCCTGTGTCCCAAGAGTAAAAAATGATCATTTGCTTAATAAGTTTTACTCTCTTCTGCTTTACAAGAGACCCAAACTTCTGACCAGAAACAGTCTGAAACATGCTCACATGCTGACATCCCTGATTGCACTTTCATGAAACCGCTTCATTTGAATCAATTCTTTATAGCTACATTAGACCCCAAATCTATATAAGGAATTTTGCCTGATTCTCTCTTATTTATTCAGAGTTCATTTAAAGTGATCCATTGAGCACTAGCATAGCTACTGAAGGTAACCTTTCTTGTCTTATGTAACAAAAGGTATTTAAAGGCTGAATGATGAATGACTCTCTATTGCCCTCTATAGCCAATAGGTTTTGTCACAATAATGTTGAGTTAACAACTTCAAAATGTAGTGGGCTACAACAGCAAATACTTAATTTCTCTCTTATGGGTCTGCAGGTTGGTTGGGGTTCAGCTGACCTACTATGGTGTCTATTGGCTTGGTCCCTGGCTCCAGTCCAGGTTCAGGTCTGTGACATCAGGTTACTATGGGCTCAGCAGGTGCTCTACTCATGTGATTGCAAAAATGCAAGAGGGCAGCCCAGCTTTATGGGCAGAGTTCACACCTCTCATTGCTTCACAATTGTTAATACCCTATTGGCCAACGCAAGTCACAGGCCCAGGCCCGAGATCTAAGCGTGGGAATGACACTCCACCCAGCACAAGGCCAGGGCCAGGGTGGGGAAGTATAATTCTGCAGCAGTGGAGAGAAGCATTGCTGGTTGACTGACTGAATGTTCATTTTCACATTTACTGATACCTTGTCATAGATGGTTTTAAGAAGTTAATGATTACTGTCAGCAGCTTTCACCTCAAGGGAAGTGGACACTCAAACTTGTTCACGGTTTGTAAGTTATTTTAGCTGAAGTATCTCCCAGTAGGAAATCACAGAAGGTTTAAAAAAAAACCTCAATTCCCTTTGCAGGTACTTTTGGCATATACTTCATTCAAGGGCAGATGCACTGAGATGCAGGGAATAGATTTGGCCTTTACTCTGGTGCCTTCTCATCAGGCCACACACTGGCCACCAACCACCTCTGTCCTCCCACAAGGACAGGCTGTGCTCTCATATTTGTGCTTGAGACCCAGCATGGGAAGGCACCAGCAGGTTTGTTGAAGGGTGGTGTTCGTCCCAAAGGCTTTCCGGAAGAATCCTTCATAGCACAGCTCTGACAATGTGCCTGTACATGGTCACTGCCTATGAAACATTTATTTGGAGCAGGTGACTCATAAAATGGCTATGTAACCCAGGTTAGGCCACGTCTTCACTGCCATCACATAGAAATACTCTTAGAAAGACTTAAAATCACCTTAATTTGTTCTCATTTGATTTGTGTCTTATTGAATCTATGTTTTGTTGTTACTGTGTAGGTCCAAAGGGATTTCCCGGTCCTCAGGGTCCTCCTGGGCTCAAGTGTTTCGATGGGCAGAAAGGTCAGCCTGGCAAACCAGGAATATCAAAAATACCTGGTCCACCTGGTAAGGGAAGTGCTTTTCCTTAGGGATGTCATAGACTTCTAAGCTGCATGGTGTCAGGAAGGAAATGGCCAAGGGATCCCTAGATGAGGGGGAAATGGTGTTTGTTGATACATTGAGCTCTTAGCTGTGTTTCCATAACTTTTAGGTTATGGTAGTTTTGTGGGTTCTCAGGGCTTCTGTCACCTGAAGCAGGAGTTATAGGCTATGATTGGTCTATTATATTATAAAAACTGCTAGGTCCAGACAGACCATTTGCCAGAGAAAGTGAGCAATTGGAGAGACATCATTGGCCTTTAGGAAATACAAAATTGCAATTTATTTCCCTGCAAAAGGTGGCAAAAACAACAATACCTATTAAGAAAGTGCCTTTGTATTTTAGAAAAATGTGTTTCTATCAAAGTAGTAGTCTTGTATATATATAGGTTCTACGTGTCTACATTTAACGATGGAAACTGTTTTCTGCCCAATAGGTCTTCGTGGTGACATGGGAGATCCAGGCTCTGTAGGTGAAAGAGGCTCCTCTCCTGCTGGGCCCCCAGGCTCTCCCGGTGCCCCTGGAGCAGGTGGTCAGAAGGGAATCCCCGGAGACCCTGCTTATGGCCACCCAGGACCCCCGGGAAGGAGGGGCCTTCAGGGAATGCCAGGGTTGAAAGGACTCAGAGGCGACCCAGGATATCCTGGGCCTGCAGGTATGACGGCTGCTCTGTCCCTGTGCCTGTAAATGCAGCTGTGTTCTGAGCAGGTCACTGAAGAGCGGTTAGACTATCTTGCCTTAGAAAATCTAGGCTATAAAAATGTCACCCAGGCCTCTTCCCTCCTATATGGGTACTGGCTACATCTCACTTGATGCCTTTGCATTTTATTGGCTGTTTTCAAATCCAGAGCAGCTCACTGAGGCTCAGTCGGCTCAGTTGGATTCAGCAGCTGCTCGGCGTCTGTCTTCCTGCTCTGGACTCGGGAGCAGGGGCTGTGCAACCTGCCTGCTGCCTTGCCGGGTGGCAGGAGGACAGGACAGGCTGGAAGAGGGAGAGCGGCTCAGAGGGGAGGAGCAGTGTGGGCTGGAGTTCTGGGAAAGCTCCCTGGGAGAGCTGGGCCCCAGCCGAGCCCTGGCAGACCAGCCGTATGGCTTGGACAGGTGACAGTGACGGGAGTCTCATTCCAGCAGGGGCGGCAGGCAGGGCGGCAGTGAAGGAACTCAGGATGGGAAGATGGCCTGGGTGCTGATTCCCATCCTTTCCTGAAATCACTAAGGATTCTGCAGGATCCCAGCAGAGGCTTTCAGATTTTAAGGAACTTAAAAGCAATCCTGGGTTGGGGGGGAGGCTGTTGTGTGTCATTAAAATCATCACCTTCTGGGCCCCAGTTATGGGTCATTACATCAGAATTGGGCGAGGCCCAACAGTCCAGTATAAACTTTAGCCCCTGGGGTGTTAGTGACCAAGAGTGGACCCCAGACCAGACTTTAACAAGCCACCGCTCTGGATATTTTCTAACAGTGGCCAGGCCAGCATTTGTTAGCTACCCAGGATAGTCCTACAGGGCAAATGGGAAGGCAGGGGAGGATGCTACATTCTCTGCCCTCGGGGAGCTTACTTGGTAGTTTGAAGTCAAAATATCCATATACAAAAATTCAATAAATTGGAAAGTAGCAACACATTATGTGAGTCAATGAAAATAGTTTTGCCCCAATAAACTCACTATCTCACTTGTGAAAATGTACCTCAGGGCTGTGTTCAATAGAAGAGGAAGGTTAATATGAAAATACTCTTATACAGTTGACCCTTGAAAAATGCTGGGGTTAGGAACACAGATTCCCCCCCCCCCCCCCCCC